TTCAGCACAAGGAGGCCGAGTTCCTACAGAAGCTGCTGCCTGGCTACTACATGGTGAGTCCCAGAGAAGGGTCTCCAGATGTCCCAGGGGGACAGACACTGCTCTGTACCACCTGGAGGACCACTCTTGACTCCCTAAAAGACTTGAAGAACCTGTGTTTAAGTTTCTGTGTATAGAACAGCTGCAGCTTGGAGAGTCAGGACGTGTTCATTGCATGAAAGGGGCAACAGCAAAAAAGGCTTTATCAGGTCTGCAGCAAAACCAGATCCCACCCTGAACACCTTGGTGACAGGGAATTCAGGGATAGTCCTGCCCTGTAGAGGTGCCTCAGGGCTTGTGATGCTGTTGAGGTCACCAGGAGAGCTGCTTCTAAACCCACAAACACTTTTGCTGTGATTATATCCCAGAACCAGGTTGTTTTTCTTCAGAATTCTGCCCAGTGTCTCCTGCACCCACCAGAGTTCACCTCCATCTCTGTCCTGATGCCTTTGGCTTGGCATAAGCTCTAAATTTGAAAGGATTGAGCACAAGATCCTCCTTGACTCTGGAGCTTCCCCAGCTTAGCTTCTGTGTGAATGAGCAGCAAACTCCTTCCTTCTGACCCTCTTTCTCTGACCCATTGTCCTGGTAAAAAGAGAATTGGCCAAAACCAGGACACCCATCCAGCTTTGCAGGGAGGTCATCAGCACCTGTAGGCATCACCCATCAGGTCCCTGCCTTCACCTGCCCTTCCCTCAGCTTCCCTGGCAGTGGCTTTGACTCCCTGCCAGCTCCGTGGCAGTGCAGGAGCACAGGAAGGGACAGATAACTCCTCTAACTGGCAGGTGAGTAACTGGAGTGGCTGTGAAGGTGTTTCCTTGCTGTTCCAGAACCTGAACCAGAACCCCAGGACGCTGCTGCCAAAGTTTTACGGCCTGTACTGTGTCCAGGCCGGGGGCAAGAACATCAGGATTGTGGTGATGAACAACCTGCTGCCACGTTCTGTCAAGATGCACCTGAAGTACGACCTGAAAGGCTCCACCTACAAGCGCCGGGCGTCCCAGAAGGAGAGGGAGAAGGTCTTTCCCACCTACAAGGACTTGGATTTTATGCAGGATGTCCCTGACGGCCTTTTCCTGGACTCAGACATGTATAATGCCCTGTGCAAAACGTTGCAGAGAGACTGTTTGGTAAGTGGGAGGGTGATGTGGAGAGGTCTTTCCTTCTGCTGGGAGCTTTTCCCATGGAAAGGAGGTGGCAGCTGCCACCCTTGTAGCCCCTGCCTGTGACTCAGGAGCTAGTTTTTTTTGGTGGGGGTGAGGACAAGAAGCTGGACCCCAGTTTAGTTCAGTGCTTCCAACTAGAGTTAAACCAGGACTGGCTCTGGTGGGGGAGGAAGCACTTTCTGCCAGGGTTGAGCTCTGGAGCAGGACAGGATCCAGGGAGAGGTGTAGGATGCTTCTCCAAGTCTGGTCCCAAGTTCATGAGATCATGGAATGCTTTGGGTTGGAGGGATCTTAAAGTTCCTTTAGATCCAACCTCCTGCATGGGCAGGGACACCTCCTGTGCCTGCTGAAAATGCCAGGGAACAAGTGGCCACAGCTCTGGCAGAGCTGCACAAGGGCCTTCAGCAAATGGAAAGCCACTGAGGGTGGGTGTTCAAGTTGGTGTTCCCATGCTGATGGGTCCCCTCCAGCTCCCTTGGGCAACGAGAGATGAGCTGACTCTGCACGAGCTGCTGCTGAAAAGGCAGAACTGCTGACCTGAAAACTTCTGTTCTGAGAGTGTTCTGGGCTGGCAGATCCGAGGGAACCTTTGTTGACTTTCCGCCCAGGTCCTGCAGAGCTTTAAAATCATGGATTACAGTTTGCTGGTTGCCATCCACAACATGGACCTGGCGCAGAGGGAGCAGGTGGTGGCCGACGGGACCTCCCAGGCCGACACGCGGCGCCCGGCAGCCCAGAAGGCCCTTTATTCCACAGCCATGGAATCCATCCAGGGGGAGGCCCGGAGAGGGGGCACCATCGAAACTGATGACCAGTGAGTCTGGTTCAGTGTGCTTGGAGTCATGGAATGGTTGAAGTTGGAAGGGACCTTGAAGATCATCAGGTTCCAGCCCCCCTGCCATGGGCAGGGAC